CGGTGGCAGCAAGATACTTTGTGGCACTTTTTCTCCAGCTGGAAGCAGGGTTTTGGACAAGGTGGAGAAAAATTAAGAACGGTTTGAAATAGTGTATACGTGTATGGTTGTGTACAGTACCGTATACATAAATACATAGCTGCGGTGTCGATGTGCAACGTGAATATGATGGATGGGCCTGTGTGCAGGTTAGACGTCTGTCGTAAACAGATTGGACTGCAATGGCTGATCAATGGGCTCTGTTCCACTGTAATTAGACACACAGCGCCACTGCTTGACTCCAGCCACTTCAGCACACGTTCAGAAAATGTGTATATATATATATATATATATATAGTGTATAAAAATGACATTGCCTAAATGTCATTTTAGTCAACAATTAAGTCCAAAAACATTCATATTTTAACCAATGCAGAAGATTTGAGATACATTTTTTTGAAAGAAAAATAACCTGGTTTTACTATATGTCATGCATTAAAAAAATACTAAATGTCATTTTCATGTTGCGAAAACCCATCGAATTGTCTTTTGTGGATGCGTGTGTGTGTGTGTGTGTGTGTATTTCTATATATGTATACACACACACACACACATTTATACACACGTGCATATTCTACTTTTTACATAAGTGTGTGTTTGCATGTATACCTGAATGAGTGGTTGGATCAACTTGAAAGAGGTCCTCGGGTCAACTAAATAGATTGAGAGAGGTTGAGAGGCATGAGAATAAATATAGAAAAGGATAAAATCTACATTGATAATCTTAGCAGTGCATGAATGTTTTTGAGAGCAGGCAGGGTGCAGGCGAAACATAATTCAATTACGAAACACGTTTTTATAACGTCATACAACTAGAAACAAAGATAAATATTTGAAAGCACAAACTCTTAAAAGTTTAAACGTGCATCAATATGCCTTTTTTTTCCCATCCAAATATGTCCCCGAGGAAAATGGAGGTTTGGTTCTGTGCAGGAGTTATCAATAGTCACCTGACTACTTGGCGTCAGCGTGAATGCGTCTTGTCAATATAGATTTCGTGAAGCAGCATGTGGCTCATTAACCAAGGTTATTTGTGAACCGTGAACGATTGTATATGATCACGAAGCGGTTCAGGTGTGAAGTATAAGTGCGACAGCAGCTGCGGTGTTAGTCGAAGAACTTGTGTACCGCATTCAGGTTGCATTCATTTGCTCTGTTTAATCTCTCCTCTTTCTTGCAAGACGAAGGCCTTTTCCTGTATTTACAGCAGTAACAGAGGAAAGATTTACCATGCCACAATTACATGTGATTATCTTTTTTTTCATCTTTTTAAAAAGTAGAACCATAACATTCCGTTCACTCGCTATTAAAGCCCATTTTTTTGGTTGTTTTTTTTTTTCCCCTTGTTCACTGATGCACCATAGGCGTTTGGTTTTTCTTCCAGCATATTGCGCAATCGCTGTCTCGTCATCCCGCTCGCTCTCGTGAGTTTCCCCTGTGATTGATTTCCACCTCCAGTCCAAAGTTGTTGATATAAGACTTAGAAAGGAATTCACCGATCCATCCACCGTAATGAGCTGCCTTGTCGTCATTTACAAAGTTGTTTGAAGTGCTGTCGAAATGCAATAATGATGTTGCGGTGAGAGTATTTCACATTATGAACAATGATTGGGGCGACACAATACGACACGAATGCAGCAGTTTAGAGGTATTTAAAAAAAAAAAACTGTTCATTATTGTGGTGGTCGACAGAGGTGTCAACCTGCATTGGCTTTATATATATATATGAGAGTGGGCGAGAACTAATTGCACAGGATCTATTTTTTTTTTCCAATGGTAAAAGAAGCATAAAACCATATCTGATATTGTTTCTGTAAGATTAGCAAAGCATGTGCCAAAGCTAATCATATTATAAAAAATCATAAAAAACAATTAAGTGACAAAATATTGGAATAAGTCAGCAAATTTAGAGATATGACGAACAATGGAGTCCTGAATTCCTGCCCACCTTGTACAGGTTCTAATACTGTAATTTGGGCACAGCACTTTACTTCCAATAGTTTTGCCGGGTTTGTGAGAATTTGGTCCATTTGACTGAAATCAAGGTTGAATGTTTTGGCCACAAAGAATGTTTGGTGCAAACACAACACTGCTCATGGCCAAAAGAACAGCAAACCTACAATGAAGCAGGGCGGTGGCAGCAAGATACTTTGTGGCACTTTTTCTCCAGCTGGAAGCAGGGTTTTGGACAAGGTGGAGAAAAATTAAGAACGGTTTGAAATAGTGTATACGTGTATGGTTGTGTACAGTACCGTATACATAAATACATAGCTGCGGTGTCGATGTGCAACGTGAATATGATGGATGGGCCTGTGTGCAGGTTAGACGTCTGTCGTAAACAGATTGGACTGCAATGGCTGATCAATGGGCTCTGTTCCACTGTAATTAGACACACAGCGCCACTGCTTGACTCCAGCCACTTCAGCACAATCACACCCCCACCCTTACCCACCATTAAGTCACCAAACACACACACACACACACACACACACACACACACACACACACACACAAAATGCAGCCTGTGCACAAGTTCGAACAAATTCCGTCTTTACATGCACCAGGATGCAGCGCGAGGGTGATCGAAGGCGACGTTCAGACAATGGTGGCGACAGCAGGTGGAGACCACACGTGGATGACATCTTTTTTTCTCATTCTTTGCCCTTCGCCCCCCATTTCGCCTTCCATTTTAAACCGGGACAGCAGGGAAGCCGAGTTTGGACGCGCAGCCCGTTTAGGCGCGCTTCGATCGCTCGGTCGGCGGGGGACCGTTGGCGGCCGCGGAGGTGGTGGCGCCCTAACATTCCCGCTCACCACTCGTACACCTGTGTGCCACTGCCCCCACTCCCCCGCAGCTCCCTCACCCCCTACCCACAATGCATTACTCTATTAAGTATTAATCCCTGCCTTCTCTGCCTTTCTGCCGAATCCCGAGCGTCAAATGAGTGTTTTGAAATGTGCTTCGTGTACGTGGAAGAGGAGCCAGTCTCAAGTGTTCGTGTTTAGGGGGTGGGGTGGAAGGTTGGGTTATAAATACCCTCTCAGAGCCCAGTCGAGTGGGCTCCACTGGGCTCCGTTTGAAGTAGCAGACTGTAGACCTGCTCGGGGTGGGTAGCGGGGGATAGTCTGACCCCAGTCCCAGCAGAGAGACCCCCCTCAACGCCCCCCCATTCCACCGCCGGTGCCTACAGCAAAGTGGGTCAATATCTTGCTTTTCTCCTCCGTTGGCCAGCCCCTCTTTATCCCTCCCTCCCTTCTTTCGTTTCTCCTTACACAAAATCTCGTCTGTCCACGTTGTGCGCAATCTTTTCTTCGCCCTCATTTTGAATCCCACAATGCTTACTTTTGTGCAACGCTCACTCGGGTTCCCCGCCGTGACTCAAACTGCATTAATATTGAATCAAACAGTAGCAGCAGGAGTGTCCCCCCCCCCCGCTCCCTCTGCCCGCACCCACCTTACACTCACCCACTCTCTTTAAACCCCCCCGCAGCAGCCTGACTCCTTGTCTGCACTCGGCAGGATGGAAGGAATATTCCCACTGGGCAGGGCACATAGATTTGCTTTAAATCAACTTTTATAGGTGATAAGAGTGGAGCTGGAGAAGCTCTTCTCGCCAGCGTATGGACTACTTTACGAGCTGTGTTACTTTCAAACCAGTTGCCACCAAGCAGCACAAGTTCGGGATGTGATTTTATTCCGCTGCGCAGCACAATTTTGTTCGGTAGACATTGTGGGGCCTTTTCACAGCCACTTTATTTTGAGTTTTCTCCAAACAAGACACGGTCAAAATTACGCCTCCACTAATAAGTGGTTAATATTTGAACAAGTTTATGGCTTATTGTCAATTTGGCAGAATATTTGACCACTCCTATTGGCACAATGATGAGAATTGATTCAAAGGGGTTTGTTTTCTGCCATGGGCGGAGCTTTTAAGTATAGTCCACAAATGTTCAATGGGGTTGAGGTCAGGGGTGATTTCAGAAGCTGCTTTATCCATTCAAAATGCATTTTGACGTGTGTTTTGGATGGCTGTCCCATTGGAGCACTAAGTTGTGTTCAAGTTTCAGCTTTTGGTGTCAGCCATTAGGAGTTGAGCAACTTCCAGGCAAAATATTTTTTTTCCCCCGGAAATAAGCCCAAAACACAAATTAATTTGTCGGGAGAAAATATTGGAAAAAAAATATTTTTAAAAACTCAGACTTTTTCCTTGTAAAAAATACGGCATAAAAAGGGCAAAACAGAAAAGGTGAATTTTCACAAAGCTTGACTTTGTGTAATAAGCATGCAAATTGCCAATAATACAACCTAACAAGAGAACGTCGGCCATTGTTGTCCTATCTCCGCCCATTTCACACTGCCTGGTGTTGCTCACAACACAGGCAGCATTCTTAAGTCCGAAGACAGCAAATTCCCCAACACTCGAAAATATGAAGGCTCTGCACAGGACCTAAATGCGTTGTTTTTTTTTTTTTTACTTGTATGCGGCAGGGAACTGCTTTTGGGGATTATTTAGCACCCATTCGTGTTGTTAGTATTCAGAAAGAACCATTAGCTAACAGCAAATGAGAACAAATGGGTCTTGGATATTAATCGTAATATAGTCCCAAAACTGGTGTTCAGTCACCCCCGGGGGCGGGCGAAATAATTCCCAATGAGTTGTCGTAGATTTTTGATATGAATGAAATGGTTCACGTAAATATGTAAACTGGTGCCAGACCCAAACTGAGAAAATATTCGGTTGGAATGCAGTTTGCGAATAAAACATTCCTATGGCTTTACACGCGCGAGTTACAAAATGTTTAATTTGTGCATAATGAAGGAATCATTGGAAAAATGTCTCCCCCCGTAGTTATTTTTGAGCAACTTTGGACAGCTCGCCAATGAGAAAAGGGCTTCCGTTTCATCACACAACACGTCGACTTGACCCGAGCTTTAGAGTAAGCCACTTTTGTATACTTACCTTGCCTTGTGTTCTTTTCCCCTCTCTGCCTCCCACTTTCATCCCCATCCCTCCCACTGCTGCCATCCACGCCAAGCCTGCAAGCGCAAAGAACAGGAGCAACACAAAGACCGCAACACAGCGCCCAAGAAGCAGCGCTTGGTCTTCACCGACCTGCAGCGGCGCACGCTCATCGCCATCTTCAAGGAGAACAAGCGGCCATCCAAAGAAATGCAGATCACCATCTCCCAGCAGCTCGGCCTGGAGCTCAGCACCGTCAGCAATTTCTTCATGAACGCACGCCGCCGCTGCGTGGACCGTTGGCACGACGACCACGGCACCGGCCCCGGGCAGCCGGGCACTTCCGCCACCACCTTCTCCAAGGCCTGAAAGGAAGGGGGAGGGGGCAATCCAGGCCTGGGCGAGCAGGCGTAGCAAACTGGCATTGAGAGCCCCATCCGGGCCTGGACCGTCCTCTGCCCACCCCTGGCCCAACACAAAAAAAAAAGAAAAAAAATCCTTCGTGCCATGCAATCATTTTTTTGACGGTCAAAAATGTCAAGCTCTAAATGGGAGGGGGGGTGAGGTCAGGTCCACTTACTTACACAAGGACAATCATTGATTCTGAGTCTGTTTTTTTTTTTTTTTTTTTAAAGAAAATCATCATTAAGGCATCTAAGTAAAGAGACACCAAAGATTTTTTCTGTATTTGTTGTTGGACAGTACTGGGCACAACCGACGTAGCCACCGATCCTGATTTTTTTTTCCTTCCCCTCCCCCGATTCACTACACGTCACCCCTCTACGGAAGAACGGCAATAAATCTGACACAACAGCACATAGCCTTACTATCCGAGCCCTACGCCACACAGACGAGGACGTCATCCTCCAAAACAACGTAAAGGCCTTCCAATTCTCTCGCCTCGGCAGTCGGCAGTACCTCCCCCCACTTCTCATCACGCGGCTAAAAGGTATTCCCCGATGGCCGGCCATCTCACAAAGCAGCTCCGCCTGATCACACGGCCAACTAATGAATTGAAAAAAAAAAAAAAAATGAATCGATGCAGACAGAGCGAGCGGGGGCCTCGACCTCTCCCTCAAGGTGAAAATTAAGATGCTCGGCGGCAGGTCTTCCAGGCCCAGGTCTATATATTTTTTTTTTGCACAGATGTTGGAGGGCCTGCCGTTGTAAAGCCTGAGCCCAGAGTTCTTTGACCACAACCGCAGGAGAGGCCCGGCGACACATCTGAGACAAGCTCTTTGTTCCGGCGGGAGTTTTTTGTCTTTTTTTTCCCCCTCCTATGGTCGATACTCCAGAAGCGACGGCTAAGTGACAAAAACACGCTCGGGCATCCGTCCGGTTTCTATAAGGAGAGTAAAAGGAGCACCCAGTGGAGATGGCGACACAAAAGGCACCCCCATATAACAGCAGCACACCTCGCCTGCACAGATCGAGCAGAGCCACAGTGCGCCCTGCCGGCCAAAGCTTAGAGGATAGAGGCTCAACAAATTGATCAATAAGCAGCCATTACCCTATTGTTGCTCTTCAGCCAAAGCCGGAAAAGAAGGTGGTGGGGGGCGGGGGGATGATTCAAAACCCAACCGGAAAATTGCAGGGATCAAGAACAGACACACAGACCAAAAAGTTTGAAAGCTTTACAAATAAACCAAGGGGAGGAAAAGGTACAACACACAAAAGGAGGTGCAGCGGTGGTTTAGTTTTTATTTTGGGAGGCGTTGTTTTTTTTTCATTCAAAGAAGTATTTGGGCCACGCTGAAAGGAAAAAAAAAATAATGACACCACAAACAAAAATCAAAATCGAAGAAAGTCGGCCATGTCTAGCAAGCAGGCAATTCCAATGAGCTACGTGCCATCAGATTGCTCTTCTGAAATCATTTACATGCCCTCAGAAAATAACTAACTTCAAACCTTGGATTATGACACATGAATCAGTTTTCTGGCTCGACAATGTCACCTGTCCACTGTAGTAACCGCTGTCCCCAAAAGGGTTAATTCTAAAAAAAACACTTTTTCTCATTTTATTTTATAAAAATAATTGAAAAAACAATCACATACCTTTTTGTAAGATTACAACTATTCTCATCAGATTATTTTTTTCATTTTAGTGTGGCCCTGACCTTCTGTTACTTCCATGCCGTATCTCTTAACCACACACATAAATACACACAAAAGGAGTTAGCTGTAGCCAACACGCAAGCTGTCAAAAATGCGACAATAATTTTTGGTGCCAATGCTTTACTGCCTTAATTCCAATCAGACAACACGGTAGTTGGCTCACACACAGGTGACAAGAATGCGTGTGCGTCACAGCAATCAACAATCAGCTTGAATTATTTTGATTTTTCTTCGAATTAGGATTGAAAGACAAACCTCAAAAGACGATACAGATGAGCCGTGTGGATGTCTGTGTTGCAAATAGTCCATAAAGTCGCTCATTGTTTGTTTTTTCTACCTCCCCTTCACCCTTTTCTCTCTACAACGATGCGGGTATTCAATTCGTACCATAGACACAAAGTTTCTATTTCTTGTTACTATTGTGCTCTGTTGTGCATAAAGTAAGGCACCTTGTTGAGAAATCAAAAACAAAAAAAACAAAAAAAAAAAAGTAGGACTTTCTAAAAGAGTGACGTGGCTATGGAAGGACATTTGTTTTGTTTTATTTTGGCATTCAGATGGACTCTGAAGAGACATTTACCACAAGGAAAAGGAAACTGGGAACTGATGGAGAAGAAATGACTTTTTTTGGACATCTTTATGTCGGAACTGTGGTACTTTTTTTTTGGAGCCCTTCAATAGAAAGGGACCAAGAAAAATTACCTTTGAGGGGTTGTGGTGGTGCGGGGGTGTTTGTTCTAAAGCTCGGGACTTTTCAGCGTATGGTCTTAAGATGCAACTGTAGCATTTCCAACAATGTAGTCAAGAGTAGTGCAAGAGCTTGGATACAGGAGTTGAACACGCAAAACTTCACCTTGCTGTAAGCAGTGAATTAAGGCCGCAAAAAAAAGGACGAGCTACAAGAGTGGTACCAAAAAAAAGGGGGAGGAGGGAATTGAATAAATGACGAATCAGCTCTTGGGCTGACAAAAATGTTTGTAGTGAGAAAACCAATGATGGCTACCTCACTGAGCTGAGTGGTTTGTGAAACCGCCACTAATACCAAAGATACTGCAGCCTACCGCTCCCAAACTGCCTGGGGGGGCACCCAAACACACACACGCACGCACACACACACACACACAACGATACGTGTTGGTCGTAACAGCGCAGTCAGACTGCAGCTGGCCACGTTCGGAGGAGGTGGCCATCTTGCAGGACAGAGTTGAGTGCCTTTTCCCTTCAACCACGGGTGGGACTGCACTGGACACATAAACAAACCCCATACAACGCTCTCGCGCGCACACACACACACACACACACACGTAGGTGGATAGCAAGCCCTCCCCGACAACCCCCCCACTCCTCACCCCCAAAACAATGCGCCCATAATTGGATGGACAGTAAAGGGGGAGGGGACGCGGGAGACGGACACAGGCTTACGTCAGCATTTTCTCCCGTATTGACTTTCCATCTTGATACACTCGAATACAAGCACTTTATCATGTAGAAAGTCTATAAAACAATCTCTCTACGCTATTTATTTCAATCGAAATGATATGTTAGCTCCTTCGTCTGTCACATTCTTTTTGTGTTCTTAAGCTCCCGCTCTGCCCCTCCCGCCCGGTGTGGTTCGCTGACTTTTTTTTTTTGAGGAGAGAGGGTCTTTTATTTTTTTGTTTGTTTGTTTGTTTTTTTTTTTTGCCTCTCTCGCATCAGAGATATTTTTGTGTAACAGAGACAGAGGGAGGCAAAAAAGAAAGGCAAGAGGTGCCGGGCGCCCAGAGGGCTTTTGTACTTGGTGTTATCTTAGCTCATCATCTCACTCCACTTGTGCAAGCACAGAGGCTGCACTGTTAAAAGTGTGGAAGACTCACAAAAACAGCCAAACAGCCTCCCTCCCCCCCCTTTGACCTTGTCCATCCATACACCACCCCCCGACCCCCCCTCGGCAAGCGCTAAGAGCCGGTAGGCATGTGTTTGACAATTAATTCTGAAATACCTCAAAAACCTTTCATGTAAACTTTATGTAATTTAAAAACTGAAAATAATACTGCTAATGATAAACGATGATTATGAAACTATGACACTATGATAGTTAGTTTTGGAACTTGTGACTTGAAGCTTTATACTGTTAAAAAACAACAACAACAACAACAAAAGAATTTCTTTTGCTCATTTTTTTTCCTCCTCGTACGTTTGCTGATTTTTGCTACGGCATGTACTTGTTTTTCATAAAAAAGGAAAAGACACGGTGAATGTGTGGAATCTGTGGAGGGCCACAAAAGAGACAGAAGAGAAGAAAGATGTTTCGTTCCGAGCCATGTTACAAAACATTGGAATAAAAAGAAACAAGATTAGGCATTGAGAGAGCCAATTTTCACACAATTTGAGACCACTTGCGTCCCGTGTCGTCCTGCAATTATCTTTCTTCACTTCCTGCTGTCCTACTTCAAAGATAGCACAAAAAAGTAAGATTTTTTTGGGGGGGGGTGGGTAGACTATTTTTTTGGTTGCAACAATTTAGGGAAACAGTACATTGTTGTTGGGGAACCCATTTCTCTTTTAAATGTTTTTGGCGCCTGTGAAAAATTTACCAAACCTCTGCCAAGGCCAAACAGCAAATTTTGCTGAAAAATGTAAATTTTAAATGCCTTCGAACAGGTGGTATTTCCCTATGTTTTTTCCGTGTCACAATTTTGCTTCGACGCAATCTGTGGCTTTCTGTTTCGCATGCTATGCGCCTTCTTTATTTTATATGATGCCAATTGGAACTCAAACAATTGCGCAGTCCAGTGATGAGCAAGTACTGACAACTGAAGTGAAGCTAGGTTGAGTAAGACGACGCCAAAGTGGTCTGCCATACGCGTGAAAATGTTCTTTTGCAAACCAAATCGATTAACAAACCAAAGGAGAATATCTCACTCTTGTTGGCTTTCTTCTGTCCCTTAAGTTGTCTTTTCTCTCGGGTGGGGTTGGAATTACTTTTGTGGGTGTGTTCAAGTACTCCTGATGTTCTTAGAGAATAACGAAGACCAACACCTTTAGTTGAAAAGGTGGTCCTTTTTTTTTGTTGTTGTTGTTCCTTTTGTGCATGGATATTGTATAACTGTATAGAAACCAACAGGAACGACCTGTGATTTTGTGTGGGAGGAGGAGAAAAGGAAAGACCTGGGAGAGGGTGGGAATATTTTGGTTCGCTTTAAAAAAACAAAAAACAAAAACAAATAAACAACAGAAAACAGACAAAGATTTGGGTTTTCAGCATTGGAGGGGGTCGTCATTTTTAGACTTTCCGTCACTGGTTGTGTGCATGTGTTGTTGCAACCCTCCCCCCTCATGTTTCTTTGATGTATATAACTCCAGACAGTAGGGGGCAGTGTGCGCTTGGGGAGGTCAAACTCCTCGCCTCCCAATCAATTGCATTCATTCCTCAGCTTTTGGCGGTCGTCTGGCTCGTGTCCTGCCGATTTGTGCGTCCTGCTTTTCCAAAGACAAGGCTGTTCACTTGGAGTTAATCAGAGGGACGCACACAGGCTCGAGCCGACCCCTGAATTCGCTTCATCTGTCCGCGTGCTTCTCTTCGATCTGTGTTCGGAGTGCGTGTGTTTGTATCTTTGTGAACGACCAAGTGTTTCTCATGTTCTTTTAAAGTATGGGTTGCAATATCTGTCATGCCAAAACCATTTCTTGACCAAAAACAAGCGACGGCGGACGATCAATCCCGTGAGGGCGATGACCTCGGCATTTACTGTCAAACAGCCTCACGTGCATGTCGTTTCGCTTCCACGGGATTGGTCGCTCGGTCGACGGGATGCGGGGGTCGGGGGGGGGCCCGCCGACGTCGATGCTCCCCCTCCCCAGTCACACTGTGCTCTCCCTCTTTTGTTACCTGTTAATTAATCAATCAGAACCAAGTGTCTTTGTGATGGTAGAAGACAATCAGTTTCAAAACAAAAAAGGTAGTGAGAGAGAGAGAGAGAGAGGGGCAGGCCAGTGAGGACGGACAAAAGGGGGAGGGCAAGGACTGAATAAAATCACGGGGGGAAAAAAAGAGGCTGTCTGAGTCATGACGGGCTGCTGTGTCCGACTGTCAAACACCTGGCGATACGTTCCCTCCGCATGCCAACAAAATCCGAGAAATAAGTGTAAAAAAAAAAAAAAAAAAAAAATTTGCACCCCCTCCCACACTCACAGCGTAGTGCACCGCAGGAGTGTTGTGGTGCAGTGACCATGCATCCGATCACCCGCCACTTGCGTCCTGCTGATAGGGGGGAAAAAAATGAATCATAAAAAGGCTCCGGTTGGTGGCTTTTGCACACAGAACTATGCAATCACCTGACCCTACCCAATCTTAATCGTTGCTGCTGGGTCAGAGTGTAGAACCCCACTCCTACCCCTCAAATATCATTTCCCCCTAAACACCTCCCCACATCTTTTACCATCCAACCACAGCGGGCAGCAGAGCGCCCCCTTGCCACTAAAGTAGCGAGTGGCCGGGCGGGGGCGGCTTTGTACTGATGTCACACAAAAACTGCCACCGACACAAAATGGAGTCTGCCATTTTCCATTTGTTGTTAGCGATGTCCCATCGTCTTTGCAAGCACCCCCCCCAACCCCGCCACACACACACCCCCACCCATAGTGCCAAGGAAGGGCCACACACAATCAGCGCAAAGACGCTTGCATCGCATTTCTACGTTTACAAAGTGGTGTGGAGATGGTGGCTTGTATTGCACTGACAAACACACACACACACACACACACACACACACACACACACACACACACACACACAGAGGGAGAGGGCAATGTCGGCCTTTTGAAACCAAAGATGAAAACAGAGGGTATGACAATCGGCGAGCAAACCGAGAAGACAATGTTCAGCTCTCCTTGCTGCTCTATGGGTTATGTGATATATCAGTTGACCATTCCACCTCGTACACACACGCGCATGCTTTCATCGACGCACCAAATAGACGAGGGAAATGCCCACGCGCAAAACGTCTACTCAGAGAGCCTCTTTTGCCCCTCCTCCCACTGCAGAAGCCAGAGAGCCTGTGGAGGACTTTTTTTGGGGGGGTGTGGTATTTTTTTGTTTGTTTTTTTTAAAGTTTTGCTCTTGTGGAGACTTTGAAAACGGAAAGGGAAAAAAAACTGCTTCAAAAAAAAACATCTTAAAAAGGATAATATGGGTACATTTGCGTGTTTTCAAATAAATTAAAATAAAACGATTGTAAAACAAAGGTCTTGTCATTGGTTTGTTGTGCTTGTTTGGGAATTCTAACTTCTATTTGCCGCACGCACCCGCACCCACAGCCACACCCGCACATTTGTATGACTGCATTATAGTGCCCCCGATGGCCAGAAAGGCATGCACTCCAGAAGGGAACACAAAGGTTGGAACCGATTGCTGTTCTGGTATTTCCATTCATTTCCTTCATCCATCCATCCATCCATCCATTTTCCAATCCGCTTACGGACATAAGGCTCATGGGGGGTGCTAGAGCCTATCTCAGCCGTCTTTGGGCAGTAGGCGGGGGACACCCTGAACTGGTTGCCAGCTAATCGCAGGACAAACACAGACCAACAACCATCCGCTCTCACACTCACACCTCGGGACAATTTAGAGTGTTCAATCAGCCTGCCATGCATGTTCTTGGAATGTGGGAGGAAACCGGAGTACCCGCAGAAAACCCACGCAGGCACATTAGGTAAAAATGATTTGAGATCTGGTATGTAAAAATGTTTTCAGTGAACGAGCGTGGTCACGAAATGAATTCAATGCATACATTAAGTCAATTGCATTTATACTTTCACTCCATTGAGATCCAATTCCCAGGACGAAAAATTTCACAGGACACAAATGCTACAGTTTATTTGAAAACCCTTGTCTTAAATATGAGTGCGGTCTCAAATGAAAATGAATTCAAACTGCTCGACAGTGTTCCCGTATTTGTCCTCTCAAAGGTCACTGGGAATTTCTTTTTTTTTTTTCATAACGTGGACAAGTTCCACCACTGTATTGTTCGTTCATGGCCATCCCTACACGGAAAATCCACGACTGTGCTTCAAACAGGTCCTTGATTGATGGTAAATGAAGAATGGCAAAGAGAAGTCTTCCTTTTGCACTGTGACCTCAGTTCCACTGGCTGGTGGGACATGCTGTGAACCTGCATCACATCCAGGTAAAATCTCATCAGCGGCCCCTCGAACCGTGTGGCTTAAGAAACCGTTATTGCAAAATGAGTCCCAAGTCGCACAGGTAGATTCCGAGACACGTGGCGAGAATGGTCCAGTAGGTCAAACGTCTACCTCATTCATCGATTCAAGCTTCATTTTCATCATATAACCGCTGTTCAAAAATCCCATTTTGTAAAAGGTATGCAACAAAAAAAAATCAGCTGTTATCGCCAAAAAAAAAAAAAATCAAAACAGTCGCTCATTACCTTGCCGTTGTTGTCGATGTCCATGCGGGGAATCCCCAATATAAAGGTATCGGGATAAAAATGACTATTCCGTTTTGCTCATTTTGTATTCATTCTATACATCATTATAAATTCATATTAGGATGGGAATCCGCAAACATTGCAGAAATAATCCCCATTAACTGGAGCATCGCAACTATTTCTACGCTGGAGCTGACGGCTCCAAAACGTGACCTCTGATTGATCCATTGCGGCTTGTGCGAGCAGCGTAATTGGCACGCAGGCCAAAGGGGGCATGTCATATATACTGATTCGTATTTGCAGCGGTAATTTAACGAGTCATCATGGCAATGAAAATTTCACGTGCAATCAGTAGCCCGCATTTGTGAGAGTATTTTGTAGTACGGCATGACATAGAAAATTTGCATTCTAAGAGGTTATTCGAGCTATGTAACGAATAGCGTAAGCACAATGGTTGATGTCATTTCTCTTTTTGATCATGCCAAAATTTTATTTCTTAAATATGGGCCACGGTGACTCATTTTGCCCCGCCAGGTCACAAATGAAGCTCATTGAAAAACAGCTTCTGGGTAAGGTGCCCCCAAGGGATATGGTTCAACATACAATGATGGGGACCCATAAATCCTTGGAGTTCTTAGCCGTATTCTTTATTACAATGCCAGAAGTACCACGGGCAACTCTACATCAAAGCACCGCAAAGTTATTTGACATTAGAGTTACTCGCAGAAAGTAGCACGCAACGAGTCTCACCTTATGTTTATCGTGGACGGTTCGGATGACATCGAGGGCTTGGAATGTCATTGAGGGCAAGACTGCTGTCCAGGCAGTGAGCAGAGCTGCCAGCCACACGACTGGATCTGTGAAGGCCTCGTCAGATGCACCTGAAAAAAAGCCCATAAACGGTCAAAAAGCACGGTTCAGTCCATTCATTTAAGACGGCAAAATCGATACGGGGCTTTTAATGTGAGACATATCGCTAGTTTGGCATGCCGCTTCCTTACACTACAACAAGATTTACAACACCAAAAGAACAAATTTCTACCTTTGACCATGATGTGACACAGGATTCTAGTTAAGGTAAGCCATTTTAAAGTAAAAAGAAAAACCTTTTCACAGTTAGTGGTTTCGTTCAACCAGGGTGTGTTCGGAAATTCACTGACACCTTAACACCGCAATGAGAGAGTGTTCAGAGTGGCAAAGCACATTCGCCTCCCATTCATTTCCTTTGTTACAAATCAGTCAGCAGCTCGTCCTTGAACCGTCTCCGTCGATACTGCCAAACACACTGGGCTCCGGCACTCCGTTTTTGGGGCACTCTCAATAATTGAACAGCACATTTTATCAATGCTCTGAGTTTCCAAAGAGTCGCAGTGTAGCAGTGTGTGCTCAGAGCGTATTTCCAAACACACTGACGATCAGGAAATGGGGATTTTGGATGATGAGTGTGACCTTCACTGTTCTTAGTCTTTTGCAATAAAAATTAGATTTACAGTCTTGAACCACTTGGATATGTTTTTTTTTCTTAATGATGCATCGTTTGTCGAGTTGGGCTTATACTTCGGGAGCAACTTTTAGTCAGAAAAATACAGTACATAGCAAGGTGACTGTAGTTAACTCTCCAAAATAATTTAACTAGAACTAAAAAAAACATTTTTGTGAAGAAAATAAAATAAAAAAGATTCTTAAAACAAATCAACAAAGATAACAAACTTACATGTTACATTTACAAAATTAACTACAATTATAGCGAAAATGTAGGGATTTAAAAAAACTGGGGGCTCTGCTGATTGGTTGTTGGATGGTTGTTCACCTGCTTAATATTCATATTTTTAAATACCCTTAAGGTGGGCAGGAACTCCAAACAGCCAAAAACTATTATTTGTATTCAAGAAATTCAACTGACTTTTCCATAACATGTTTCCATAAATTTTAAATTGATAAAAACCAGGACGATGCAAAGTCAAGTAGAACCATACCGTAAAATAAATAATCAGCCGGTGCACTCTGGAACAGGAACTTGCTATGTGTAATCCTGGAGCAGATGAAGTAGAGCAGCAAAGAAACGCACATGGCTCCGATATTGAACTTTGTCCAGTGTCTAGTCAACAGCACGATCTGATGGAAGAGAACCAATGTCATTTTGAGATTAGGTCAAGCAAAATTACAATACTGGTGTTCCATTCTTTGTGTGCAACTCTGACCTCTATGTTGGCAGTAAATACGGCTGCCATGGACACAGTGACCGCCATGGTCTGGTAGTCGACGGCAGTGTTGTAGTAGACTCCACACGGAATGAAGAAGAGAACAAGTGAAGCATAGAGGGCGTATAGGAGTGATGTAAACACCAGGGGCCCGGAAAGCTCCTGCCTCTGTCCACACTTGTACAGCTCAGGCCACCTGAGGCTGCTCTCTGCGCTCACATCCTACAATGCGACAAGAATGTCACTCTGCACTTTGTGGCCGCTGTGGCTCGACTCACACAAAGCTAAGGACAGCAACACTGGGCAATGGCTGAATCTTTATTGAGACATTGATACCCCAAAAACAAAAACCACAGTTCCATAGTTCATATAAATGACATTGTTGAACAACATTGAAGCAATAATGGGAAAAAAATGGTGATGGTTGGTATGTTGTCCTTTTTCTGACACGTAGCTTCATACTTGCTTGCTAGCTTGCTTTCTTTACTGGACCCAGCTTGATTCTCATCTGTAATTTACAAAGTCATTTAGTATAACAACGTTCATATGATAAAATACTTGGCTGCAGTGTAAAGTTACAAGCTCAAAACTGTAAAATTCAGTTTTAGTAAAACAAAACAACTATAAGTACAATACAAACAACACAAAAGCTACCTAATGTTTTGGGCTGGTGTTAAAGCTTAAGTAAAAGTTAAATCACAGCAAAGCTAAAAGGTAATAGCTAACTAATAGCTTATTCTGTAGCTAACTGCAACTGTTAAAGTTAGCCAGTAGCAAAAATGCACCTGGAGCTTTTGGTTAATACGGATTCTAGCTAAAAGTTAGCTGAGTGATTGTTGAAAGATGGGGACCAGCTGAGACTGGACCAATAAAACAGGTTCAGTCCACTGTTAGCAAGCAGGAATAGAGAAAAAAAATTACTTACCATATTTGTTGCTGTGTAACATAGTTAATTGAAATGGAAGGAGCTGGAAAGTTTCATCCAAAATGGAAATGGTGAACCAGGAGTTGATGTCAAAATACACCGTCCACTATTTAGCTGCAAAATAATCTTCCCAAACTTTGTTGACTTAACTTTTTTGACCCATAAATGAGTTACCAAAACATCCAACACAAGACATAGCAATAACCAGCAAAATCTTTGCACGTTCAACAAGGTCGCCGAAGAGAGATGACAATGTATTCGTTTTTTTACCTTAGAGTGGAGTGGCTTGCATTCAACGTCAGGTTCATGGGGATTACAGGCAAATGGCAGAAAAAACGGAAGTCAGGGTCTCATATAGAGGAAGAGCTAATTGGATCATACCAAGTGCCTGCATTGTCAAGGGGGGATTGGAATTTCCTTGTTGCATTCTTTTCATAGGTTCGGTGTTTACATATTTTGTTTTTTTTTTTAGTGAGTAAAAGTATTTTTCCTGCTGTTAATAAAATGTTTTAAAACAGATTTTGTTGTAATTTTTGTTGTTTTGGTGTTAGGGCTCTCCAATTACAACTCTAAAATTATATGAGCTCTTCGCAACCAACTCCAGCTTCATTCATGTTAAAATAATAATAAGAAAAGAAATTAAATACGTGAAATTATCCTTTGTGCAAAGGCACCAGATATAAAGATTATTTATACATATGTATGTATATCTATCTATATACCGTATATATATATATATACGGTATATACATACATACACTCACTTTTAGTTTCATTCATTTAGCTCCATTTAAGTATCCTTCAAACAGACCCATCATACTGAATTATTATTATATTAATATTAGTGTTACAAA